CACCTATTAAACAAGTATCTGTTCCTAAATTGGAACTATGCAGTGCTCATTTGCTTTCAAAGTTATATCGTGCAGTCATGAACACTCTCAAAAAAATATAAGTTTGATGTTTACGCTTGGACTGACTCCAAAGTCGTACTTTCCTGGCTCTCGGCACATCCCCGTAAATGGAAGACTTTTGTTGCAAACCGGACGTCTCAAATAATCGAAGTACTTCCAACAAAATACTGGAGGCATGTCCCTTCCAAAGAGAACCCAGCAGATATCGCTTCGCGTGGTATTGATCCCAAATGTCTTCCTAATTGCAACTTGTGGTGGAATGGCCCAAGTTGGCTTTTTTTGGATTCGTCTCACTGGCCGAAAGAGGAATCCGCTTCCAAAGAAATCAAGGATCTAATTAAAGCTGAACAAAGATCTGATCCTATATTTTCATTTCATTTCATAGTGCTACATCAAATGAATTATATAGTGATTTATTTGAAAAATATTCATCATTTTCTAAGATTATACGCATTTTAGCATATTGTTTAAGATTCATCAATAAGTGCAAAACCAATAACAAATGTCAAACACTTATAACTGATTCCTTTTCTCCACTCACTTACACGGAAACTAAAAATGCAGAAATAATCATAATTCGATGGGTTCAGAAAGATTATTTTAATGAAGACCTAAAATGCATTAAAAATCAAAGATCGTTGCCTAAGAAAAGTCAGCTACACTCCCTCCATCCGTTTATAGATGAAAACAGTCTTTTACGGGTGGGAGGGCGTTTACAAAATTCAGAATTGTCTTTTAATCAAAAGCACCCAGTGATTCTACCTGCTAAACACAAGATAAGTGAGCTCATCGTAAAAGAAAAGCATGTGACTTATTTACATGCTGGTGCTTCATTACTGTCCCACATTATCAAACAATCATATTGGATCATAGGTGGAAAAAAGCTCATTAATAAATGTGTTCACAAATGCATCAAATGCTTCAAATTTAAAGCATCCACCGCATCTCAGCTTATGGGTAATCTACCTAAGCATCGTGTAACACTCGAGAGGCCTTTCTTCTTCAACTGCGGAGTGGACTATGCCGGTCCTATTTCAATCAAATTCAACAAGGGTCGTGGAGCAAAATCAACCAAGGGTTACATTGCTCTATTTATTTGTCTCGCTACTAAGGCACTACACATCGAGGCAGTGAGCGATTTAACCGCTGATGCATTTTTAGCTGCTTTGCGTCGCTTCAGTGCTAGACGAGGAGCTCCAAGTCACATTTACAGCGACAATGCAACAAACTTCGTTGGGGCTAATCGAAAAGCTCAGCGAAATACAACGATTGTGGGCCTTCACTTCCTAAGAACGAAGCCGTTGCTCATCATTTAACTCAAGCATCAATAGAATGGCACTTTATACCTCCAGCATCTCCTCATTTCGGAGGAATTTGGGAGGCCGCAATTAAATCAACCAAATATCACTGTAAAAGAGTAATAGGTGAAACGCTACTTACTTTCGAAGAATTGACAACTCTATTGGCTCAGATAGAAGCCATTTTAAATTCTCGTCCGTTATGTAGTGTAAACAATACTGACATTGATTGCATTAATATTCTCACTCCTTCACATTTTCTTACAGGAGACGTGATCCTATCCCCTCCTGAACTACCTCTTACTAGTCCTGCCAATATACGGAATAGGTGGGATCTCCTTCAAAAGATGCGCAAGGACTTCTGCAAATCATGGACCAAAGCATATCTATCTTCTCTTCAAACCAGAAAGAAATGGAAGGACACTCAGCCGAATATGAAAATTGGAGACATCGTCCTGTTACTAGATGATGGTCATCTTCCAGGTTCTTGGCCACTAGGACAAGTGGTCGAACTTCATCATGGTGCTGACGGATAGGTTCGTGTGGCCACGGTTAAAACTAAAAGCTCTATTTTTAAAAGAAACATTCATAAATTAGCACCTTTGCCCATATATCAGGACTAATGCCTGATAGGGTGGGAGTATGTTCCGGTGCACCGGAACAGAACAACTCAACCTGACTCTTTCGCTTTTGGAACTATGCCAAAGAACATTTAATTCATTAAGCTGAAGTCAACATTAATTCAGTTTGAATAGTCAGACTCAGACGAACGCATTCGCAAGGCAGCTGCTATGCTGTATATTCTTCACTGTTTTTTGTTCTGTTCTCGTACTTATAAGTGTTATATGTTATTATCTTGTTTATGTGCAGTTATTTAATATAAGTTTCATGTTTAAAACGAGGACGTGTTTTGAGTTCCTTCACATTTACATCGCAACAGGTAGTTTATTCCTTTACATAATTCTTGAACATAACTAGATATATTAAAATCATAAACATTATACCATAAACTAGGCCTCGGCAGTCTATTGAAAACTTAACACTCGATGTCCTATTTCATAATTTCAAGTGACGCATTGGAGTCCCGAAAGTAAAGTATAATCTATAAAAATAAATTTTAAAACATAAATATGAAACGAAAACTTGAAGAATACATAAAAATATAAACTGAAATAATAACACTTTTGTTTGATTACAAAGTTGCAGTAAAGAACATTCATTTTTATAATTCAAAAATAAAAATTGGGACATACTTTCAAGGCGTATGGAAAACGGTGATAGATTGACATGTACTTTATTTACAGATGCAATTATGCCAGAACTTATAATGCCTTTTTTTCCCCCTTTATTAAGTGCTCCGCCAATAGGCAGTACGCAACAGAAAGGGAGGAATGCCCCGTGAAGGACTTTTTAAGAAAAACTGACTCACATCCACGTTACGCATGGGAAAACCTTAAAACACGTGCAATTAGCCCGTTCGCCGGGCTCGAAACCCAGACCGAACTACCAGTATTCAGCGGCTTTTATTGCTGGGCCTTTGGTGGGTCAACTTACAATAGTGAGCAAGACTATATCACACTATCACAAATATGAGTGAAATGTCTAATATGAAGAAAAATCTGAATACATTGTTAAACGTGTGTTAAATTTTCGAAAACAAAATTAATTGTTAAAGGATTTTGTGACAAGCCTTAATCATCTTCCAGCTTTGTTGCAGCCCTTAGCATTGATGCGAACGAAAAACCTTTTGAAGACGGCGAATTTTTGAAAAACTCATCATAAATTTTTCCGAACACTTATTTAATAATTTTGCAAATTACCAAAAAAAAATGTTTTCCATAACAACTGATGATGCTCTAGCTATGAGAAGAGAGCATGCTGGATTGGTGAAACTAACCGAAAACGAACTTAGCTGCTTCACTTTTACCGTTCCATTGTATTATTCATAAAGGAAATGCTTTTGCGAAATCTACGCCAATACGCCAAACTTAAAGATGTAATAGAAAAGGCTGTTGTGACCGTAAACATAATAGTAAGACGCTAAGTATTAGCACACAGGCGCTTCATAGCGTTTTTGACGGAAATTGAGCCGAAATATGGAGATCTGGGTAAAAATATATATTTACGGGTGTCCCTTGGCGAAAATTGTCGATTTTTGGCGGTACATGGATACCGAGTTTGTGCAATTCTTTGACTGTTATTTTGGCTTTGCGTAGCGCTACAAAAAACAAAGACAAAATAACAAGTCAAAGAGTTGCACAAACTCGGACTCGGTATCCATCTACACATCGACCCATTTTCACTTTAAAAAAAAGTCATACTTCATTGACTTTTCAAAGTCAAACTTCATTGCGCACTCCTTTGACTTTGTCCATGTACACATCGATCACTTAAAAAGTCAAAGGAGCAGCCAACCAAAAAAATTATGTCATAATAGGGTTTCCATAACAATTAACTACTCAGGTTACCATAAATGAAACGACAGCTTGGCGATAAATGAAACAACAACTTCGCTATAATACAAGGGGCACCCTTCAATCTACTCTAACCGAAATTTGTTGTTCGATTTGGAAATACGGTGGTTAAGTTGAGGTAAAGTTCCTACTAAATTTATAAAGTGTTTTAATTAGATACATGTATTTCTTTACAAAATCTGTGAATATAATCTCGGACTCAATGATAAAGAATAATTTTTGTTCTTAACGGACATAATGAACCATTATAATGATTCTAACACCTACGACTCCAAAGAAATAACACAATTTTTAAAATGTACGAAGAGTTTTTCTTCGTTATTTGAAACAGATATAAAAAAGAAAGAATTTCGTTTATTTCTCTGCTTAAAAGGGCAACGTGAAAAAGAAAATATCGATGAGAGTAATCTTAATTTGCTCGAAAGTTGGATTTTGTGAATTAAAAGTATATTTGAAAGTCAATTTCAAATTTTTAAGAACTGCGAAGTGTTTACTTTAATAAATCCCAACGAAATAGAAGAAAATGCTTCAGATCTGCAGCATCTTCAATGCCTTAAAATTGACATAAAAAGTGTTAATTTAGAAATAATTGATTTTAAAATTTCAGCGCTATTCACAGATAAATTCAAGACATTCGGGAAAGATTTAGAAAAATCAGAAGATTATACTCTTTTCGTGATATCAGCGTGTTGGGCACTACTTCCTAAGAAGTTTTCATCTCTGAAAAAAATTGCATAACCATTTTTTACACATTCGGTTCAACTTATAAATGCGAGTAAATGTTTTCACACACGAAATTTATTTTTAGTAAGAATAGAAGCAGCTTAACTACCGGAAATTCAAGTACTTGTTTTCGTCTGAAGACAACTAACTATAGGCCGCGTACTAAACTGACGTCACAAGCTTAGCATCAGAGCAGCCATTGATATCGAAGAGAAAATTTAAAGTTCATTTTGTTTTTAGAATAATTAAAATTATAATTTCAATTTTTAAACTTTGAAGCGCATTGTGATTATTTTCTCAGTAAAATTTATCTTATTAGAAAAAACTGTTTTAAAATGAAGATAACACTGATCCGAAACATCTTGCTAATACAGAAATTTTGGTAGATTTTGACCCGCAGCCAAAACCGGAAGCCGTCGTGCTACTTGCAGGGTGTCTCATAGACCTCCACTTCCAAAGCACGTATTTTAATATAAATTTGTGATTCTTTGTTTAAATTATATCTATTTTGTGCGCTCAAGTCTGCTTAACATGCCGATATAAAACATTTCTTTGAGGATTTAACAACTTCTCGAATTATTGTGGTGGTACCAGGTCGTGGAATGCTGTGTGTTGATATTTTGATGTTTCTGAGTCCCAAATCTGGAAAAATCGATTTCTGTGGATAAAGTCGGTTTCCAAGTTTGATATCTTCAAGTCTGAGGTAGGAATATTATTCTCGTTTTATTAAACTGTAAGTCCTTATTTTATTTATTTGTTTTCCGGGCGCACTGGTTACAGCCGCCATTAAACAACTGTTGCCGTAGGGAGTTCTTTCGTTGTTTCCCCCACCAAAGAACTTATTTTGGGAGTTAATAGTGCTTTTTTACAATGAGAGTCCATTATAAGCTGTTGGTTCCCATGTTCCAACGTCATAAATAACAAGTTGACCTTGAGGTAGGTGTTCATCACCCGAAGGTAAGTGTCCTTCAGTGTGGAGTGTATTTTTGCGCATTCTTTCGGAAATTTCACTAGATATATTTTTTATAACTGAGTGTACTATGCTGTTAATTTCCCGTCTCCTTTATATTATAATGCTCTCAATGCGATTTTTGTTAGTTTATTTGCATGCATAATTCAACTTTATTTAAGTATTCTTTCACTTATTTCCATAGCACCTGATTTATAACTGTACATTGTTATTTATTACTTTGATTTAATCAAATATGCCTTTTATGTACGTTTTTATATTAGCTTCCAAGTGCTCTTACTTAAGCCCCCTCCAACTGTTTTACATTTTAAGCCAGTCTCTAAAATTTGTTTCAAAAGTCAAAATTTAATTCTGGCTATCAAAAAGTGAGATTATAGTTTTCCGCTTAGCTCTAATCTTGATCTTTCTCTAGAAATTGGTTCTTTCCTTTGTATCATAAAAAAACAATTACATTTTTACATATGTAAGTTAATTTTTTACTGGCAAAACTCTGCACCTATTCCTGTTTCGGAAGTGGAAAAGATAACAGCGGAAAGCGATAAAAACTTCTTGAAAATTATGATTCAGGTTCACTTGTAGCAAGAAGCCGTTTCCTGGTGTATCTGTCTGCATACATAATTAATTGTTATTTAAAGCAAAAATAAAAAAAAGTCTCAAATTGTGACGTCACTCATTCACTTTATTTAAACTTAGAAACATTTGTTTTCATATTACTGCGAATTTACGCACTTTCATAAATCTAAAATGCTATTGTATACTATGCGTTCCAGGTAGAAAGTTGTACTCCGTGACGGCATACCATAAACTAAATACTAAGAAGGCATTGCAACGAAGCGCTCTTCTTGTCACAGCTATGGACAGACACTCCTGCATTTGGATATTCGCTTTTCTCCGGATTTCATGTAAGCATTCTTTATAATTTTAAAGAATATTTCTCAGATTGTGATGATTTTAAATACGCCATGAAATTTTTCCGTTACATATTAAACATAAAATAACAAATAAGAAATAATTCTTGCAGTTACAATTTCAAAATGAAATCTTCACTTTCAACTGTTGTAAACAACAATTGCTAAAAAAAAGTCAACAGCATCTGAAGCTGAAATTCACAGCTGTAGATAGATAGCAATGAGTTGCATGAGTAACAATAAGCGGAGATAAAGTTCATTTTCAGAAACATTTACTTGCAACATTTCAAGCTTTTGCGGTAATCTTAAGACTTAATATGGGTTTCAACCAAACGTTTTCTGGATACTTAAAATATGCACGTAAATACTTTTTAAAAATGTTTGAAAATTTTTGCATGTACAAAAAGCGCATTAAATTTTAATTCTTATTCACAGTTTAAAAAAATTAACTAAACGCTTAGTCAAAATAGCAACAGATATTCAAAGTACAGCAAAATATATAATATTATAGCAAACTCTTCGTTTTGCGGGGTAAAAATGAGTATGTAGTTGAGATGTATTATGCTTTGAAACTTCTTTTATTAATATTAATGGTAAAGATATTTTTATAAATTAACAGTTATCCGTTATAAGTTGTAACAAGTTATGTTATTTAAAAGTTTATGTAAATTATTTCATATTAAGTTTATTTACGCAAATTACTATATCAAAAGTATTGTAAAATACAGCTTGCGAAAAAGGTCTTGCAACCCTAAATTCTCAGTTCTTTCGGAAACAATTGTATATGAATCTACTCTTGTAAAAACACTTAATAGTAAAAAATTAGGTAACAGTCTATAGATATGTAGTTAATAGAAGATAACGAAATTCGGCAATACAGTCGTGTTCCAAATTTTTAAAATTCATGTTTGAAAATTCAGAAGATTTGCCAAGCAACGAAAACGTAAACTAATAAACGGAGACATAAAAATCCAAAGAAATATTACTTTGGTTGTCAATATATGGTAACTTAAAATGAAAAGTTAACTAGAATTGAATGAAATTAAATCCTTGAAAAACTAGTTTAGAATACAAGAAACTTTCAAAATATTTTCACTGTAGAATGGTGTCTACTATTTTAATAATTTAGCAAGATACAATTCGCTTTGGATTATTATAAATAAGCTGGTTGTAACTTGAATCAGAAGAAGTAATTATCCAAATAATAATCTGTTTGACACTAGCTGAAATTGGCGAATTGAATTGAATTGTAAAAGTTTGTAAACTGCAGTGCCTCCGGCGGCCGAGAAGTAAAACCGCAGAACGTAGTTTGATGTAGTTTCAAATCACGGTAAACGGACGCAGTTTGACGTAGGTTCAAATCACGGTAAACGGACTGGCAACGGAGTCTTGTAAAATAAAAATGCTGTGTTTTTTTTTCCTCCCGTGTTTTTTTCCCTCCCATCTGCTTAATTTTAATCATTTCTTATAATCCCGTAATATGATTGAAGCTTCGTCTCCCATCCCTTGGATTCATTATTGAACAACTGTGAATTTACTTTCCAATGTGTCACCTGATTTATTTTCAAAGCCAGCCCCTTCTGAGGGCCCCCGAGCGGTAATGTTGCTGAATATTAGTCGTGCTGTCCAAGGTGCGAACTCGCAAACGGGCTTTCGTGGTTTTCCATGTGTGTAACGTTATAAGGGCAAGGTTCTCTTAAAAAGCCCTTCACGAAGGCATACCTCCCCTTAGGCACATAGCCCTAGTGTGCTTCCCCATAATCTCAATAAATGAAATCCTTGCCTCAACAGCTGAAGAGTTTTATTAGTCCAAAGGGACTTGAGTCCCGAAGGACTATTACTTTCGTTTGGCATTTTGCGTCGGACGGATAAATGTCGGTTCACTTTTCAAACTGTTGCCATAAAATGTTAGAGTCCTGCATTATATTTAAAGAAATTAAATAATGAAAATCTGCGTAAATGTATGTATATTTCTCACATTGTCATAAAATAACGGTACATAGAGTCATCGAATTTTGAATAACGTAATCCTCCAACGAATATGAGCATGTGGAAGACCAAATTTGAAATTTGAAATTTGTTTTATGATCGATTTCCTATTTTTTAAAACTTTGACGAATTTTTGATTAACAAACTCAAGGATTACAAAGCGAGCAATGGCAACGTTGTGCAGAAAAAAACATTTTTATCTCCAGCGCGTGAGTCTCTGTATCGGAAATTCTAAAGATATGCTCGTTTTAAAACTATTTTGCGATATTGCTGTTGCACTGGATCTTATGGTTTAAGTGCGAGGAACATGATATTTAATAAAGAAAGGTAACACACAAAATGTTAAAAAACGCCCCTTTGGACGTAATTTAAAATCTGAAACATTTCAGATTTTGTTTATTTATTTATTTTTTTTTATTTGGTCAATCATAATTTCCCTTGAAATTTCTTAGTTTTTCAAAGTCTCAAATCGGAGTTTTAAGTTTAATACCTTCTTGGATCTACCTTCTGTTAACGTCAAATGTCTATTGTATATAATCTTGAAACAATATCCGTACCCCATTATATACAATAATGCCACCAAATAATGGTTTGATTTAGTTCGTTTAGGACAAAGCAGGCGGAAACTATCTGTTCAAAGGAAGGCAGACTTTCTTAGAGGGCTTCTAAGAAAAACTGCCTCGTGTTCAGTTCACACTTCAGAAAAAACATGTATACATGCCCATACAGCCATTGCATTCACCTGAAATCAAACTCGGGTCGAATTGCCAGTGTTCAATGACTTTGCCGCTAAGCCGCTGGTGGATCTACCAAGTAATAACACAGCAGATTGGAAATACAGCTATAAACAAAAAACTGAAAATACTTTTGCTCATTTAGAAGTCCATAATGTTATAAGAAAATTAATTCCTGAATCAATATGAATAGGAAATTTGAAATATAAAAGAAATCTTCTATATTTGGTAAGAACAGCCTTGTTTTAGAGATTTCACGAAATTTAAAAATTTTATCAGAAAATTTACCATTGACAATCAAATTCGTAAAAGAATAGCCATTGGCGATCAAAAACTCGATTTTTAACATCTTGTCTTTCGTTCCCCCTCCCCAAATTCTCTGTGAGAATTTCTTGATCCTTTTGATAAGTGGAATCCTTTCAAAGGTCCACTTTTATCGCGGAACCCTTGATTTGCTTCATTAGTACGGTTTTAATGTAATATTCTGTAAACGGATTATTTGCAACAAAAACGACAATTATTTCAAGTGAAACTTGTTTGCTTCAAAAAATAGTTTCAAGAATTAACCAAAATGTTTTTAAAATATCGTATTCAAACACGACTTTTAAATTTAAATTTATGAGATAAGTGGTATTACGTTTATTATAGCAGTTATACTTAATACATTAGGCTTAATGAATGTTGAATTACCATGACATGTTCAGCATCAAGTCTATTACAGTATTTATTTTTTGGCGACACTGAGAACCACATTTTGTAGCTGCAAAGAGCAAAACTTCCAACAAAGTGGTAAAAGACCTTTTTGACAAATTAAGATGTTAATCTTTTAAACTGCACTAGAATTTCTCTACCAGCATTAATTTAAATTTTTCTTGTAACAATGAATCAGACGACATTTAAATACGTTTCGTATTCTTCAGCTGATATGGTTGAATGTCGTGCATTGACAATAAATGGGTTTCAAATTCATAATTCATTTTGATATTTAATTTGCTGTTCATTTGGAAAATACTGATAAATAAATTAAATAAATAATCAATAAAAGTCTCCCTTTTTTCAATTTCTTCCTCTTTTTAAAAGCCTTTTATTATTGAAAAGCAATCGGAGTCGTTGGAGTGCGTACTTAAGTGTCCAAAATTCATTTTCTTTTTAAAGCAAGACTTTTTCGTGAGCAGTAACCACATGTACATGTTTGCCCTGAACTTAACTCTTTAAATTTTCATGAGATGTTTATTTGTAAAAGTACAGCTTAAATAGGCTTTACAAGTATTTTAGTAGCCAATTTCTATCAAGTAATCAACCTCTCAATTCAAAATAATGTTCTAAAAAAAATCGCGCACTTCGTCCCTCAGTTCAAAAATACGGGCTTAGTATCTTTCCTGGAGATAACCATCCGATTTCAGAATAAAGAAGACGTATATATGCACTTCCCATTTCTCCTGGCTTGGAGAACAAGCGATTATTTAGTAGCGGAGATTTTATGAAGTTAATGGCTTTGACGACTTCATCAAGAGCATTCTTACTTTACATTATGGCCTCTTATTGTTGTTTTTTACTTCTAATCTTAAGAACGAGTATGTGTGATGTGATGTTATAATAACCAATAAAGATTTTCAACAAGCAAAAAATGAAAAACCTTTCCAGTCAGTATGTATTTTATAAGATGCACATCGACATGTGATTATTGTCCCGACTATTCGCAAGTGGTTTTTTACTTTTATGCATTTCTAGTTCTGCTCTTTTCCAGATGAGCAGAAAACAAAAATAAGTAGATGTGTAAATTAAGAAACTCTGCATCACTTTTAAATCTTCAGTTAATTACTCGATGCACAGTTTAATTGTAATGATAAATGTTACGCTGTACAAAACAGCACAGCCTCCGAGAGCTGACAGATTGCCATGCCGCTAGGACCTAACGTCTTGGAAAAGTAATTCGATATAAAACAAATCGAAATATTACACTCTTCTAAAGTCAGAAAAGTAGCGCCTGCATTTACCTCACTTTAAAGAAGACATTATGTTGCTTATTTTAGTATGTAAATTATGGGAATATTCTAGGCTTAATTTAGGCATAGCCTGAAATAAAAGGCTTCTGTTTGTCAAAGTACAGGAAATGTAACTTAACGCTAATTCGATATGCCCAATAATTAGCTAATGAGATCCTGGCTGAATTACTGTTTTCACTTCAAGCGCGTAATTCATCCCTTAACATAATTTTTATAATAAGTAAGATATTATACTGCCAGTCTTTATTTAATATATAAATAATATATATTTAATTATATATTTAATATTTAGTAATATTTAATTAATATAATAATAATTAAAATTTTTTTCAAATCCAGCACAATTGCTAAAATATAAATAAAAAATAATTAGCTACGCATTTTCTTTCTACAAAACCCAAAGGATTCTGAGTACTTCCCGTGAGTATTATCCCGCTGACCATGAAAAATGGCTACCAGCGAACCATGAAAAATGGCGGAGATCCCGCTAAAGTAGAGCCAATTGCTCTGAAAAATTCTAAACAAACTGATGCCTCCACATAATTAATAACCAGTATTCCATTCGCTTTTTTTCAGTTCTGAAAAAAGCTTTCATCGATTTCAACTATTTTGTTAGGCTCTCCGATTTTATCCGAAATTCTCTTTAGAACACTATGAGTACAGTTTTAGAGCGGGTAGTTTTCATTTATATCCTTGCGCACAAAAACGAAAACCTGATTTATCGAGAACAATCGGCGTTACACGAAACAGAAACGCAGATGCAATGAATGTGTTGTTGTGTCACGCTTATCTATAATTCGCACTGCTTGGCCATAATTTCATGGTCGACAGAAAAGTACGTAAGTACCAGATTCGGTACTAAGTACATAATATATGGAGTGATAAACATCTTTATTAATTACAATACAGTACTTTGACATAGTTTAATTCACATCAGATTTATTGCTAAACAACAAAATGGATTGACACTGTTAAGAAACGCGTTTATTGTTTTTAAATCATTTGAGTTTGTTAAATAATCACAAACTGATTAAATTCTAAATATTAACAGACCAACTATTCTTTAAAAATTAGAAACTCCGAGAACTGACTACGCGCGAGGCACATGGAAGTCAAATATCTCGCTTTTCACGTGTTAGCGTTTACCAATGAGAATAAATGTCCATTAGTAGCAGAATACAACGGTCTAAAAATTTTCTAACGGTTTCACTAAATATATTCCTAACGTTAAAAATATAACTATTTCTTTGTAAAAAAGCTATAGGCGCCAAAATTCATGATATGCTATTTTTTAATAAATTGTTAAAATACCAATAGTTATTTTAAATCATGGTTCAATTTATTTCATTACTTTATTTGTAGTTATTTTAGTAATATTTAGATTATGATAAAACAAGTTCAGACTATTTGCCTGAGCAGGGATAATTTCACGAAAGATCAGAGAAATAGGCTTCTATATTCTCCTCGAAAGTAAGAAAACTTAACGAAGATCCCATACAATCATCTTGCTAGCTTGGAACCCGAATAAACAGTTCAAAAATTTTTTTGTAATAACTGTTCTAAAAAAATGAGGTCCGTGTTAAGATAAATAAAAGATTACATTTTGTTTGACTTCAGATAAATTAATAGTAGATTTTAATTTTTCCGCTTCAGTCCCTATCTCACTCTGAGCGGAACTGACTACACTTTTAAAGTCTGACTTCGTGAAGACAATGTGACTTATCGCAACATCTTCACCTAAAAAGTAAAAACAGTAACAATTAAATAAGAGGAATTAAACTTATGCAGCTTGCGGAAAGTCAAAACGGAGCTTAACGTAAAATTTAACATGTTAAAAGATTCACAAGACAAAGCATGCCTACCAATTTTGACTCCTCAACTTACACAAGCAATTACGGCTAGCAAGGCTGAGCGCTAATTCAAGTAATTTGGGTGCTGTGCGAAATAATAGCGAGATGATCGGCGACAGCTGCCACAAACATGTTCTTCAATACGTTTTATGTGTTGAAGAAAATGTTCGTATGTTAGTTACTTGTAGGGATCAAGAAGGGGCTTTAATAAGCTAAATTAGAAAATTAAACCTCTGAAAGCCATGATTTTGACAAACTAGAAGGTGGAATTTTCGAGAACGAACCAGGAAAGCAGGTTAAGGGAGAAGAAACTATTGTCTCTTGTTCTGCAAGAATGCCAATCAGATGGAAAGACAAGTCACCCCACGCCTGAACTAAAATAAAAAATTAAAGATGCAATATGATAATAAACTATACAATTAATCCAAGCAAAGTAAGTAAGCTATTCAGTTATTTGCAGTTTTGAATTCGGAAAACCAACAATAAATGAAATGTACAAGCTAATGCTACATGCAAGAAATACTAAGAAAGTACTAAATACAGTAAAAGTCGGCAGTCCAAGCTAGGATTTCGAAATTATGGCTTTCAAACATATCGGTAGCAAAAGCCTAACCAAATTATCTTATGGAATGATTTAGTAATTAAAAATTCTAAAACATTTGCAGCATCAGTCCAGTGCTGAAAAAATACTCATTAAGTTTAAAAATTTGATACAGTTTAAAGTCAATTTCCAAGTTATCATGGATCAGTTTGTTTCTGATCAGTTAACGAGCATTTAGTTCTTCTATTTTCTAGTCTTCCTGAAGTTTGTGAAAGGCCGCAATTGAAACTGAAATTCCGGAGATGTATAGCATAAAATTGGCCTTATGTCGGAAAAGTAAATCCTTCATCTCTTGCTTAAAGTCATTCCCGATTTAATCCCGAGAAATAGAGAAAGCTGGTTGACAACAGCCAGGAAATAAGATAACCTTTTAAACATAAAATCCTACAACATTAAACGTAATATTAAACGAAATTCCGAAGTCCGCCAAAACCTTGATAAAACAACCACCAGTTATCGTAGATTGTATAAACAGGATAAGAGCAGTTGAATTATACTGAAAACATCAATATTTTTACTTTACAAACATCATGTCAGTACCTTTATTTATATTAGTTTATATTTTGGTATAAAAATATATTTCTCAAACAATAGATTAAAATTCACAAAACTTATTCAAACATTAAATAGAAGTTTAAGGATTTAATTTTAAATTTAATTTTCTCCTCTGTTATAGCAAACAATTTTCTCATATTTGCACTTATAGTTGATTCATAAATATTCTTACGATTTAATGTATTAGCTTAACGCGATTTCACTTTGCGCGCATTAATTGGTGGATTAATGGATCGCTTTAAATGGAGACTCCTGTATTTTATCGTACAAGTGAGTTCAAAACCATTTATAATGAGATTTCAAAAACATTAATTTCATATCAAAAGGTATTTCACATAAAGAAATACAAACTTTTTTTCTTTTTATAGGTGTATTTGCAGGAAGCTGCGAATGGCGTTACTATGAGCACTACAAACAAAAACGTTGCGAACCTATACTTGGAGAACAAGGATGTCCTATAAGGTTCGAATGCCCACCTTTGTCTGACGAAACTAACAAAAGTATGTAAATTACTTCTATGTTAACAGCTCAGTATTAAAGTTTTAAGCATAAATTTTTTGAAGAATTTTAACCGATGCAATATAAATCGCCAATGAACATTTTTTTAATCGCCATTGCAAATATGTTCCACGTATTTTATTACTAACTGAACTTTAAAAATGTGTGAACAAAATTTGGCGCAAACCATAGCTTTAAATTCGCAGTGTCAACTGGCTTACATTAGTGAGTCAGTGTATGTGTTTATTGCGAGTGAGTCAGAATCCCAAACTATTTTACGGAGTAAAACTATTATTCGGCATGCCATATGTAGAAAGCATTCCGAAAATTGTATAAAGTTTATATCTCGTGTATTATGCTTATTTATGAACAAAAATTTCATAACTCTGCTCCCATTTCACGCAATCGAACGAATCACTGGAGTGAGAGTTTCTTTTAGGCAACACAGACGGTACAGTGGTTAGGGAAGCCAACAGCAATACCGAAGGGTTTGGGATCGAATCCCGGAGTTAGGCGTGGATGTAAACTGTCTGTTCCCTCATCGGTGGTAACGGTGGTCGGTAACTGTAGAAGGCAGGTTCCAAATCTTAATATTTTTTTTAAAGTACAGGAAAAGATGCAGTAATAAAAGTGAACTTATATCCTTGTTATTAAAAACAATATGTGGCTTGTCGGAAATCAATTGGGTTTACACCTAACGAAACTGCAGATACTCTAAGTGTATTGTTATATCATGCTCATCCAAACTGGTGCTAAATTGCGCTGCTTGGCAATAGTTTCACTGTCGACGGAATAATTCATAAGTATCAATATTTTAAATGACTCAAATATTCATGAGTTGCCTGGCTTCGTGGTCTTATTTCGGGTTATTCTCTGCCATGAAGAGCGCCGTTTTTCGCAGTATCTTCAACATGGAAATTTCATGAATTATCGATTGTTCAGTCAGCATCTGCTGAATGAAAGCCAGAATCTAATATGTCGGAAGAGGAAAAAAATTTTTGACAATTATTTGTAGACCTGACAATTTAACTAAATCAATTGCCATTGGCATAAGCAGACGAATAAAAACACAAGACATTACACAAATACCAAGTCGAACGAAGAACGAAAACCTCAATACTAAGTAGTAAGTATCACCGACTCGGTCAGCTGTCTAGCTGAAATCGAATAGATTAGTACCGAAAATCCGTACCCGAATCACGAACTCTTTGCATTAATTATTGATTGACCATTAAGTACTGTCTCGCATCTTCTCGTGTTTACATTTCGATTATATTGACAGTAAAAAACAATCATTTCTCAATATTGACTATTTCTACATATTTTACATTATAACAGGAACTGTAATAGTATACAGCCGCTTAGAAACACTGAATGCACGTTTCAATAACTATTCATTTTATTTCTTTTGAGGGCAAAAAAAGTCCTCGGAGAATAATTCGCGACATAGGAAACAGCAGTAGGTCTCAGTATTGGCACACAGAAAACTGAATATTATTTGCATCAGTTAAAACTGAAAACTATTTCTCCAATACACTTTTGTATGACCATTAAATTCTGTTCTTAATGTAATAAAACTTAGCATGAATATCATTAACGTATTTTTAATATCCGATTAAAATTACTCATGTGAAAACGATTTTTGCACACCAAATGTGTAACGTCTTTATAAATTAAAGAACATTATACATTAGCAAATCACAAAGGAATTTATTGATGGAAATAAAAACAGTCTCGATTCATCCTAATTAATGTTTTAGCTTACGCTGCAAAGAGGGTAATAAATTCGATTTTCTAGAACTTAATAGCCATAAACACTGCAAACTTTAAAAGCTGACGGAGTTAAATATCTTCGCCAATTTTTATCGTACGAAAGTTAAATACTTTTCGAGGTTTTTAGAATAAATATAAATTTTCTATAGTACTACAGATAACGGAAGAAAGTGTAAGACGTCAGATCTCTTGTATTTTATAAAACATTTTTTAATTTAAAAAATGTCAATACATGAATATTTGTCTCATTTAAAACGTTTTTGTGACTGCAAGTATATGTCTACAACCAAAAGTTGCGAAAATAAAGGCTAAGTAAGGAATTTTGCGGACACAGTGTGTATGTGACTAACATGTTGCATACAATTATTTTTCACGCATTTGATTGTGGGTTACAATTACTAGCCGCTGTATACGGCAAGATATTCATTTGATGTCGCTTAACTTCATCAAATCAATAAGCATACAAACGCGCGAGCTTTTCATGTGTGCCAAATACATACAAATATAAAGTAAAGCAATAAAAATTGACAATGTTTCCAAAATGTGTTTTAGGACACTATATTAGGTAACCCACAGTAATCATAATGTAATTCTAAGAAATAACAAATTTCCTGTCAGTGCAATGCCATGAATTGAATGTCGAGATTTTCTGCTATTTAGATATCAGAAGTTTACGGTATTTACTTCTTGAAGAGTAAAATTTACTTATAAATTGAAAGAACAGTTTAAAAGCATCGACAACTGATTGTTCATTTTTCAGCCAAAATTATTTTCATCAAGAACACATTTTTGGGGCTCCACCAGTGGCCAAATTGTAAAGACAGCTGAATGCTGGAAGTTCGATATGGTACCCATTTCAGGCAAAAGGGATGGTTGTAGCGTTATTTTGCCTAGTTTTCCCCGTGTGTAACGCGAATACGATGCAGTTTACTTTGAAGTGTTCTCCACGAAGGCAACGTCCACTGATCTTCATTATAAAGTAATGTTAGAGCTGGAACATCCTGTCTGACTCATGACATCTGATTAGTACTGGCGTCTTTACCAAGCACATCCTTCATGTATCTCACCTTTTGATCTTCGCATTCACTCACTCATTGAAGAATTCAACCTAAATGATCTGCATCCCAAAAGCTTTGACCTTTTCGGTATTGCTCCCATGCAAGAAATGAATATTCACCTGCTTAACATTTTTGGAAAACTAAAGAAAAGCAGTACCAATTATGACGAATATCAGCAAATTTTCCTAGAGCATAGAAGCAGTCGTTCTAAATACAAAGCAATTTTTACTGATGGCTCAAAGAGTCATGATTATGTTGGGGCAGCTTTTGTTTGTGATAAAGAAATACGGAGTAGTAAACTTCATAAGGCTGCATCTGTCTTTACTGCGGAAACTTCTGCCATTTTGAATTCCTTAATCTTTATCTCTAGGTAGAACGGCTTACCAGCGGCCGAGCGGTAAGTCGCTGTGAACACTGGTAGTTCGGTCCGAGGTTCGAATCTCGCGAACGGGCTGGCTGCATGGGTGTTTTCGTAGTTTTCAAACATGTGTAACGTGTATACGAGCCAGTTCCCCTTAGAACGTGCTCCACGAAGGCATCCCTCCCCTTAGGCAGATAGCCCTCGTGTGCTTTGCCATAATTAAATACACACAAATCTAGGTAGAACAGCAGAAAGTTCATCATCTACTCTCTGAGTGCTCTTGAATCAATAAATATAAATACCAGCCACCCTTTGGTCTTAGAAATTTTAAAAGCACACCTTCGTTTGAGAAACGCAGGTTATTATATTGCGTACTGCTGGGTGCCTTAACATGCTGGCATCAAAAGCAATGAACTCGCCAATATCGTAGCAAAATCTGCTGATATTACCTCTGAAAATTATGTCCCTTTTACGAAATTACATCAGAACAAAGATCTTGTCCAGGTAGCAAGAACTCTGGGAATGCCAAACTCTAAACAAATTAATGCAGATAAAATCCAATTTGGAGTATTGGGAGTCGAGAGGGAATCGAAAGGAGGATGTACTACTGTCTCGCCTACGAATTGGTCATTGCAGACTGACACATCAATATCTCTTGAAAAGAGATAATGAGCCTATCTGTGGCACTTGCAACGTTCCCGTTTCAGTCAATCGTATTCTAACCTGCTGTCCTGCTTTTAGTCAGAAACGTGAATTTTAATTCTATGAATGTTAACAGATCTCATTGGAAGAAACCCTCACATCAACCCCATAAGATTTTTAAAAGACATCTTTTTTTACCATATGATTTGAACCACATTTTATCCTGCTCTACCTGTTGCTAGAGCATTTCTCAATGCCTTCATCAGCATTACAGGTTTATTTCAATAATTCATCTGATAGTATGTTTGTGCATTTTGGATTTTATTCACCATTCGTCTGGCGCATAATAACCTTTACGGTTTTATGCCATTAAAAGTTAACCAACAACGAAGGCAACCCAACTTCTAGGCGAGTAGACCTCGTGTGCTTTGCCATGTTCAAATAACCAAACCAAAATACTTTTGGATTCATATTCAGAGAAAACCAATAGATAATCGACAAAGAATCTATCATCCTACGAGTACGCTTACTGCCATCTTTATTGTTATTAAAGTTATTAACGATTTGAAGATACTTTTAAAATATCTCGATCTGTCCTGTTGAATTTTGAACTCGATAGAACCTGTTGAATTTTGAACATTTTGCAATCTGTTTAATTACCAAACTTGGAGCGTGTTAAATTAGGAATTATTACTGAAAGGATGCAATTACTATTCTACACTTGCAAACAGTACAATTTTTAGAACGGCTTTCGCGAGTGCAATCTTTTAAGACCTAACACATCAGCACTTGCAGATTTGTTGTGCTCTTAAACATTTCAGAGCTCATTAATTTATTCTTATTTGTTTAGCGTGTTTTCACAACGGCAAAAGCTACAACGACGAGGAAGTCATCAAAGATGCCGGGCCCTGTGCTAGCTGTTCATGTGTAGTAGATAGCGTCAATGGTGGTTATATAGCTTGCTGGCCGGTGGACTGTCCGATGTTGGAAACTCGCAAAAAACATTGCTATATGGGTTATAAACCTGGAAGTTGCTGTCCTGAAGAAATATGTCGTAAGTATTAACACATTTCCAAGTTAAATTAAGAAGTTACTTTTTACTGTTCAACATGAAAGCCTCTCTTAATCTTGAAACTTATAATCTTCTACAATAAGTTTTAACATACTTAATTCGAAGCGATTATACCGGTTTCAAAAGCGATAATAAATGAGATATATCCCATACTCTTAAGTAAGCTTATAATGCACTTTAAGCATAATAAAGTCTTTGCATAAAGGCTTTGTTTAAAGCTCTACAATTTCACTCTATGGCCTCTATTTCTCATTTATATTGGCCGGAAACATAGAGCATGGCTGAAAGGTCCCGTTTGGATTTAGGCTTTCTAAAAAATGTATGAATAAGTCTCCTCCTGTTCCTCTTCCTTTCTTCGCTTAATTAAGCTAGCTCTCATATTAAGACACAATAACACGCCGAATAAATACTAATTCAGAAGTCAAACAACAAAAATCAGCGTTATACCTACAAAATTTTCACAGGACTAGTTTCGATGGTTTTACCGAACCATCATCTTCAGCTGCAAAACCGCAAATGAACAAGATAGGAAATAATGATTAGATAAGATAAGAAAGCCTGGACAAGAATAAGCAAGTGGCGCCATCTGTTGGCGAAACCAGAACTAAAACATAATTTCTCTAAAAGCCGAAGGCAAATTTGGATTGGAATTAGGATCGTTAACTAGAACAGAAAGATTTTTATGAATGTGAAATGCCTCTAGAAAATCCAGTTTCTCCAATGGAAGATGTTTTTTGAATAATTTTGGCAGCAGAAAAATTGAAAGTGTGATTTTCGGACCAACAATGTTGAGCAACAGAAGACTTCTGTGTTTCCTTTTTCTAACATATGCCTCATGTTCTTTGACGCGAAATTTTAAGGCTCTCTTAGTTTGGCCAATGTAAATTAAACCGCACTGGCAAGGAATCCTATAAATACCCCAGGAATTCATATCCGGAATGGGGTCCTTGAGTATAGAAGTTGGAATTTTATATTGATGGGAGAATAAACAACCCGAAAGTTAAATTTCTGCAAAGTATGTGCAACTTTATAGCTAATTGATGGAAAGAAGGGAATGACAACAGAATTTTTATAATCTCCTAAAATAAGAGTGTGGCTTTTAGTGTGTTGAGATGAGAATTTTTTAACTGCTTGATTAATGTTGGGTGAAAAGCCCCTGTCAATAGCTATTGCTTTTAAATAATTTAGTTCTTCATCAAGGGCTAGTTTGGAGGAGCAAACTTGAAGAGCACGGAAAACATAGGAATAAAATGAAGCTAACTTTTGTTTAGTCGGATGACATGATTTAAAGTGTGGTGGAAGGCAAACCGATGAAGGTTTACGGTAAACTGTAGTACTGAAGTTGGATGTGTTACGTGTGACCAGAATGTCGAGAAACGGAAAGAATTGCAAGTCTCAAGTTCAAAGTGAACTGAATAGCAGGATCAATAGAATTCATTGTTGAAAGAACTTTATTTAAATCATCTTTATTACCTTCAAACATGTTAAAAGTATCGTCTACGTAGCGGAACCATGCCGGGAAGTTTACAAGTTTCAAACAATTTTGATTCATAAAGCATGTAGATATCAGCCAGGATGGGACTGAGGGGGGCTTCCCATGGCTAATCCCTCAGTTTGCTTGTAATATTTATTTTGGAAAACAAAATGTGTTTGTTTCAACCAGAGTTGAGTGAGAGAAATTAGCTCATCAATTTCGATGCAAGAGAAATGAAATTCGCGAAGTCTGGTTTCTAGAATCTTATTCATCACCCTCCACTGGGATATTGGTGAATAATGATTTTACATCAAAAGAAACCATGAGTAAATTACTAGGAGAAATGTTTTTAACCTTTTTTACAGTGAACTTTTATGAATGAACTTTTACACTGAATGAACTTTTTACAATGAACTTTTACACTTTTATGAATTTTGGGCTCTTCCCAAAATTCATAAAAGTGGTATTCCTTTCCGCCCTATTGTATCAAATTTAGGTACTGCCTCGTATCCTTTAGCTAAATATTTAGTTTCTAGATTTTCCACTGTCTTAGACAATAACATTTACACCATAAAAAATTCAATAGAGTTTGTAAAAAAGGTTAAAAACATTTCTCCTAGTAATTTACTCATGGTTTCTTTTGATGTAAAATCATTCTTCGCCAATGTCCCAGTGGAGGGTGCATTAAGATGTCTAGAAACCAGACTTCGCGAATTTCATTTCTCTTGCATCGAAATTGATGAGCTAATTTCTCTCACTCAACTCTGTTTGAAACAAACACATTTTGTTTTTCTTCTAAAATAAGTATTACAAGCAACCTGAGGGATTAGCCATGGGAAGCCCCCTCAGTCCCATCCTGGCTGATATCTACATGCATTATTATGAATCAAAATTGTTTGAAACTTTAAACTTCCCGGCATGGTTCCGCTACGTAGAACGATACTTTTACCCTGTTTGAAGGTAATAAAGATGATTTAAATAAAGTTCTTTCAACAATGAATTCTATTGATCCTACTATTCAGTTCACTTTTGAACTTGAGACTTGCAATTCTCTTCCGTTTCTCGACATTCTGGTCACACGTAACACATCCAACTTCAGTACTACAGTTTACCGTAAACCTTCATCGGTTTGCCCTTCCACCACACTTTAAATCATGTCATCCGACTAAACAAAAGTTAGCTTCATTTTATTCCTATGTTTTCTGTGCTCTTCAAGTTTGCTCCTCCAAACTAGCCCTTGATGAAGAACTAAATTATTTAAAAGCAATAGCTATTGACAGGGGCTTTTTTCACCCAACATTATTAATCAAGCAGTTAAAAAATTCTCATCTCAACACACTAAAAGCCACACTCTTATTTTAGGAGATTATAAAAATTCTGTTGTCCATTCCCTTCTTTCCATCAATTAGCTACAAAGTTGCACATACTTTGCAGAATTTTAACTTTCGGGTTGTTTATTCTCCCATCAATAAAATTCCAACTTCTATACTCAAGGACCCCCATTCCGGATATGAATTCCTGGGGTATTTATAGGATTCCTTGCCAGTGTGGTTTAATTTACATTGGCCAAACTAGGAGAGCCTTAAAATTTCGCGTCAGAGAACATGAGGCATATGTTAGAAAAAAGGAAACACATAAGTCTTCTGTTGCTCAACATTGTTGGTCCGAAAATCACACTTTCAATTTTTCTGCTGCCAAAATTATTCAAAAAACATCTTCCATTGGAGAACTGGATTTTCTAGAGGCATTTCACATTCATAAAAATCTTTCTGTTCTAGTTAACGATCCTAATTCCAATCCAAATTTGCCTTCGGCTTTTAGAGAAATTATGTTTTAGTTCTGGTTTCGCCAACAGATGGCGCCACTTGCTTATTCTTGTCCAGGCTTTCTTATCTTATCTAATCAATATTTCCTATCTTGTTCATTTGCGGTTTTGCAGCTGAAGATGATGGTTCGGTAAAACCATCGAAACTAGTCCTGTGAAAATTTTGTAGGTATAACGCTGATTTTTGTTGTTTGACTTCTGAATTAGTAGCTCTCATATACTTTACCAGAATTTCAGTTCCAGTTTCTGAAACAGCCGGGGTGTACTGTAAAAGCTTTCCGAGGTTAAATTCTCAAGTCAAACGCAGTGATCCCTTTTATGGCGAGCTTGCCTCTAATGGTTATTTGTGAGAACATAAACATTGAGCATCATTTTAATAAGACAACCACAAATGGTCAAAATCAGCTGGAACCAGAACTTAAATTGCACTGGCGCTGACCGGAGCCCGTCTCCTGCTCTCATTTTTTGAGATAAATTGTAATTCTAGCCGGAGCACACCAGAGCCATATATAAAGGGCCTCTAGCGCTTTTTTTAGGTAAGTGGGGTACAATTTCGGGAGACTTTTTATTTTAATAATAAATATGTCTTAGAAATCGATTTTAGCTTCTAAATTCATGCCTGTCTTTCGATGAGAAACAAACACTTTGACAGAGTTTCAAGCTTTTAAGGAAAGAAAGTCCCCACTCACATACCAAAGGTTGTAGTTGTTTTGTCCAAGACGTCAAAGCAGAGGAGCCAAAAACATATCAAAGGTACTCTCTAGAAATGAAAGCTGATATTTTTTGCCCAAGTATTACAAGTTATGCTCATCCAAAGCTCTAGTGATCCACTAGTGCAGAGCTTCAGCAGACTTTTTGAACAATGCAATCAAGAACTGGAGAAGAAAATTATCACTTTTGCCCAGCCTTACGTTTGTCCTTCTATCATTGTATCGGATACGGGACAACTTTTTCCCGGCTACTTGGCAGCTAGAACTATATTGACTAGGCATCGCGGTTAGCAAATGATGGACTTTTTCTTCTTTCTTTTTGAAGCTACCCTTTCCGCTGAAATTTTCTTTCATGCTTTGATACTTTTTCTAACATTCTCTATATTCTTATTAATAACGCTTTAATCTTAAGAGTTGATCCAACACGTTATTTTTTTATATAACTACCTTAATTGCTAGCATATTCCCTCCCTTAGCAGTTTTCAGCATATGATACTTGGTACCTGGTCAGCTATACTGACCTGCAACAGGTGATAGTGTTCCCTACTCTTGCCAGTTATTGAAAGTGTCTTATTAAGGCCTGACTTGTAATGCAACCACAAAGAACTCCAAAAGAGACCTGACGAAGAGAGAACAGATTGAAACACTTTGTTTCCAAAATTGAAGACCGGGTAGGTCTGCAGACTGGTCGGTGTCAGTGCTGGTAGCCTCTCCGAATTCACACATTTGCAAAGATGAACTGAAACTGAATCAGTACTGAATATCAAAGTGAAGAGTAAAACCACTAGGGAAGTCTGCCTTCTTATTGGTGATCCTGACTGTTCAGTGTAATATGCAGCAAATGGCTAAAAAAATAGGGCTTAAAAAATATTGTCTTCCGTTATTAAAATTGAGGTATTCATAAAATAACAAATTTATTAACATGAACGGGCAGAAAAAAATATAATAAATCAAAGCCGCGTGTTCTTCGCAGCGCTGACAACGTTTTTATAAAAGATTCGACGCAAGGATCAAGTTAACATGGTTTTGAGCACTTGAGGTTTTTTTTTTTTTTTTTCCTGGGACAGAGTCACAGCGCTCTCATATTGAATAACCTATATTAGCTACGCAGGGCTGGATTAAGGGTGTCGTAGGCCCTAGGCACTCCAGCAGCGTAGGCCCCGAAATAATAAACATTTTTTAACTGAAATTGACCGCTAATATTAAGTAATAATTTTGTTGTAGATATAAATCCGAAAATGTGATGATGCGGTAAAATAACATTATTTTATTTTGGGGATTTTAATGTTTTTATTTTTCATAGAGCCATTTTCAATAGCCATAATTCCAGAATTGAGTTTATCTGCAACAATGCAAACTTTTATATCTACTAATTCCATGCAGATTCCAGGGTTTTAGTACATGAACATGACAAGACATTAGCCGCCGGGAAAACCTCTCGGACGGGCACATGCGTTTGACACAGTTGGCCACGTTTCCATGCCCCTACCAAACGCTTGCGCGCGATCGAGAGGTTTTCCCTGCTGCTAAGGTCTTTTGTTTTAGTAGCTCAGTTGTGTAATAAGTTATATGTAAACACTACGATAAGCGTGTATGCCTGTGCTTGTATTTAATCACGCTCAACCCCAAGTCAATCTTTAGTTTAAAACTGGAAGTTAATTTATTAAAGTAAGGTAAGTAAAGGAAAGTTGTTTTTATACTCTACTTATTTCAACCTAGTTTTTTGATTCTGGAATATTGCTTCATTCCTTATAATAATAGAATTTTCATTTATCACTTCTTATTAGTATAATAGTCCGCCGTAGAATGCAGCACAATGCAAGGAACTTTGATAGGCCTACTATGGGGTGGTTTGGCCATACTATTGTAAAAAATCTCCAGTAGTATCGTAGAAATAGTACATCCAAATCACCTATGGAATAGCTAATTTTAATCCATACTCTAAATCCGGGTTTCGTTTTTACAATTTAAAATGCATTACTTAACAAATTTAAAATAACTTTTTTAGCTTTCTGATAGCATATAATAAAGCGACGGGCGCAACTAAAATGTATATTTAAAGTGACGAGAAGAAGGAGAAAACAATTTAAATTTTAGTTTGTGCGTGCCCATCGCTTTTATTATGGTATATCAGAAAGTTAAAAAATTATTTTAAACTTTTAAGCGCAATTTATAAAGCTTTTTTAAATATTTTTTTTTAGCGAAAAATGTCTGATGGATATAAAAGAAACACCAAAGTGGACATGAAAAACGCAAAAAAAAGAGAAAGTGAGTGAGTCGCTTTAGTAAAATTAAAGGTTCTTTATGAAATATGTTAACATTTCTAAGGAGACAGAAGATAATGCAGATGCGGTAGATATTTTCCTCGATCGAGGTTAGACCTAAAGAAGCTGAGGCTTGTTGGGACTCGCAAGAATGTTCAATCAATAAAACTGAGAATGTCACAGAAGACGAGGCTGACGGGGGTTTACGAAATTTTAACGATGCTTCCAAGCAGGTGGTGCCTGAATCACTACCAACAACATCAGCCTCAAGTATTTTTCAGTTCTGATCCAGCACGGTGGACAACCATAAGCGCAGATCTTATCGATTACTTCTCCTCGTAATCACCCTGTGCAGAATTGGATATAAATTTTAAGTTATACGCCACTAATTTGGCGAAATAATGAGATGTCCATCACAAGATTATTTTTTCAGAAAACTGAACAACAATGATTATAAAAAGGGACTGGTTGATATTTTCCCGAATCTACTGGCAAGTTTTTTTGTTATAAATGTATTTTGTTCAAATCGGACCTACCTGAAATCCAACCTGTGTAACCAATTCCTTACAGGCTTTAATGACTGGAAAAACGCACATTCGAGAATTTCAAGTCATGAAGTGTCAAAGAACATTTTGCATCTATTTCTGCTTTAGTGAACTACCAACAAACTAGAAAAATTGATGAGACGTTTGATATTGTCAAGGAAAAAGAAAGCACATATTGGACAACGGTTTTAAGAAGAGTAGTGGAAGTAATTAAGTTTTTGGCCGAAAGGGGACTAGCGTTTAGAGGCGATAATGAAATACATGGTGATCCTAGTAATGGCAATTTTCTGGGTGTATCGATCTCTTAGCCAAATTTGATCCGTTTCTAGAAGAACATGTAAGAAGATACGGTAATCTAGGCCGCGGAAAAGTATCATATTTATCCTCCACAACGTATGAAGAACTAATAATTTTACTCTGGGGTCAAAAGTATTGGAAAAAATAGTTACAGAATCAAAGAAGCCAAGTATTATGGAATCACTGTGGATTCTACACACCTGACGTTAGCCATACGGATCAACTCTCCATAGTTATTAGATATGTCTCAAAACTGGAGATATATATGAAAGATTTTTGATGTTGTTAAAATAGAAAAACATGCCAAGTATCTTTTTGACACTCTAATTTCAGTTTTAGAAAATCAGGGAATAGACCAAAATTTTGCAGATGTCAGTCTTATGACAATGCGGCTAATATGAGCGGAGTGTATTCGGGAGTACAAAACTAGATTAGGGAAATCAACAGCGCAGCCACTTGGGTACCATGTGGAGCTCATAGTCTTAATCTAGTTGGCACAGGCGGCGGCAGAAAGCTGCTTAGAAGCTGTAAAATTTTTTGAAATTTTGCAATCGTCTACAATTTCTTTGCAGCGTCCCCTCAAGATGGTCTAAACTAAGGTCTTTGGGAAGTAAAATTTCTGTAAAAAGACTTTCAGAGACCAGATGGTCAGCACGTTATGAGGCTGTAAAACATTATGTGCCCATTATGATGATATACGTGGTATTCTACAAATATTTCAACTAGTGAAGGTATGAAACCTACAACAGTGATTGAGGCACAACCTTAATCCATCAAATGAATACTTTGGAGATGGTATTACTCACAGTTATTTGGGAAGATCTACTAAAACACGTCGATATTGTAAATAAATCTCTTCAAGAACCTGGCATCAAGTTTAACACGATGGTGCGACTTTACGACAGTTTAATTCAATATTTATCGCACTCTCACTGCAGAACTGAGGACATGTATAATAGCTATTATCTTAAGCAAAAAGCCCTTGCACCAGATTCAGAATTTAAAGAATCCGAAACTAGAGTTCGTAGAGAAACGACAGTTCGATGAAGGGCCAGATGAGACTCCCTCTCGCAGTGCCAAAGATTCCTTTAAGATTAATGTTTTTTTTTATTGTTCTGGATGTGCTTTGCGCTGAAATGACAAAGAGACGCACTGCGTATACCAGCCTTTATGACACATTTAGTTTTCTTACGGATAATACACTGACCCGAGGACATTATCAAGGTTAAGGCTCAAGCTCTGGTAAAAATGTATCCGTCTGACTTAGAAGAAAACTTTGTTGATGAGTATTTGATTTTTTCAAATTTGTACCCAAAACCACCTCTATAACGGATCTCATCAAATTACAAATAAAGGATAAACTTGTGTCAAGTTTCCCAAATGTTAATATTGCATTGCGCATATACCTTTCGATATTGGGTTCGAATGCAGAAGGAGAAAGATCATTCTCCAAGTTGAAGCTTATAAAAAATTTTATGCGTTCAACTATGGGTCAGAGAGAACTTCGTCACTGGGCCTTCTGTGTATTGAAAGTGATGTCGCTCGCGGCATTAATTTTGAAGATATAATACACGAATTCGCTGTGTCAAATCCCCGAAAAAGGAGTATTTTTTTAGGATCTACTTGTAAACCAAACGTTTTGTATTCGTATTTTTTGTGTATTTGTATTTACATATATTATTTTGACCTTCACTATATAATATAAAAATGTTTTATAGTTTTTGGGGTATTTTTATTTCAATATATTTTTTTTCAAAGCCCTAAGACCTTTGGCCTTCGTAGGCCCTAGGCACGTGCCTACTGTGCCTAATTGGTAATCTGGCCCTGTAGCTACGCACCTACTGCACCAAAATAATATTTTGGTCTTTAAAATTTATGTTGTGTTTTAGCCCCTTCATTAATTTTACTTAATCAGAAAGTCTTTTAGATGGTGTAAAACTTGAACTTAAGAACAGTGCAAAGAAACCCGTTATTGTGCAAACTATGTTTGACAGTACGTATAGGGCTTGTGATCAAAATTTTCCAGTAAACCTAATTCGTAATTTCATAAATATTTAGAATTAAAATATGTTGTAAATTTACTAAGTATATACTTTGATTTCATTCCGGTAGAAAGTTTATCTTTTTTACTTTATTCAGCTTTGACACTTAAGTGAAAATATCTTAAATTTGTGTTGTATAAATATTTTTCAAACTCGGAAACTCTTAGAACTATCCTTTAAATTTTTCTTATTTTACCTTACCTTTTCTCATTTATTATACTTTTCTTATCAATTTAAAAAAATGTAAGCAATGAAGTTTTCTGTCTTCATCCATTTCAAGAGAATCTCGACACTTTATACGAATCTGAATCCAAAAAACTACGCGGGGAAGCGAAACAATTTAATAATTCTTCTATTAAAAATAGCAAAATAAATTAATAAAAAAAACTGTATCACTATATTTCTAGTCGTTTCAAATTCGAATAATTACTTGCTTCGTTTCAGATAAAACTTGCGAGCACAATGGAATTACGTACGAGCTTGGAGAAATCATTAAAACTAAAGATCCTTGTCAACGCTGCATCTGCACAATCAAATGGGAAGGAGAATATGGATACGGATGTGAAAAGACCAAATGCCTAAATGGCATAAATGCTTATAAAATAAGAAAAGGATGTTTGCCTATCTATGAAGAAGATGTATGTTGTATGATCGATATGCATTGCGGTAAGATTATTTAAACATTTACTTTAAAATAAGTGTTAGGAATTGCTCCTAATTACACACAGCAAGACTTAAAGGAGAGGTTTCCATCTGCTTTATTCTCGCTTAAACTCATCAGTCGTTTATATAAATTTGTCTATAGTATGAGTTCCTTTTTGTGCTCCCATAACAATGCTTTAGTTTTAACAAATGAAATATAGAAAGGTTAAGCTGTGAAAATTCGCTTTTAGAAAGTCAATTTTAACGTTATTTTCCTTATACGGTTACAGAACCAGAATCCGGAAGGAATTTTCGTTTTAAGAGAAAAAAAAGTAAACCTTAATGCAATCATTTCAAAAAAGTAAAATTTTGTGAAACAGTACTCGGGTTTAAGTCTTTTTCGAAAGCTGATTACTTACGAAGAATTCTATGACAAGAAAATTGTACACATCTAAGCAGCCAGGCACTAATCTAAGCAGTCAGGCACACTTTAAGTCTTTCACTTTACCCGAAACAGATGATGAATCGCAACTTTTAAGACAATGACAAGTGCACATAAAAATCTGTTGCCCTCTCTACACTTTCTTTAAAACTTTTTTTTTCCCCATTTCTTTTTTATTCTATCTATCGTATCTTTCTTCTTTCTCGATTTTCTCCCTTAAAATCCCCTAGTTTTTGTTTATTTTCTTCTCCCCATATCTTTTTCGTTTGTTCTTTTTCTACCTTACATCGTTTGCTCTCTCTGTCTCTCGTTTTTGTGTACTACATAAAGACCTCAAAAAAGATATAAGTTGTATCGGTAACCTTCGACTGCAAAGAAATCCAATAATCTCTTAAAGGCGACATAAAAAAAGTCTTTAAAAATGTTGTAGAAATTGATGGAAAAGTGTTCTCCTTGAAGATTCAGATATTTAATCCTCAGATTAGAGTGTCAAATATGGAGGAATTCATTAACAAAAGTGCTCGATTGATTTCCAAAACAAATCTGAACTTCATTAATTCACAGAACGCCACCCTTTATGATTTACTTTTTATCTCTCAACGACCTATACACATAACTAATGTTTTTGGCCCAAAAATTTGATTTAAATAAGTACAAATTAAGGTTCCCACAGAATATTTTTATAATTTCTGTCTGTCTGTAGACAGGCATCCTGTGTATGTGTATGACAATTCTCTCGTTCGCAGTAACTCTTCCATCAAATTTTCAGTTTTCCATATTTAAGCTTTCTACATTCATATAATGAGTTGAATAGATATTAGGAAAAATTGGACAAACGGAAGTAGTAGCTTACTTGAAGCCCATATCGGTTTTTAATGAAAACCTAATTAAATTATAATCCAAATAAAAATTAAAATATAATCCAAAACTTTTCAATTTTACTATTAAAGACTTTTATATCAATAGAAACAGCATATGAGATTTTGGGTAAAACTGATAAACCGAAAACTATACTTTACTTGGCGCTCTAAACAGATTTCCGTAAAAAACTATGTTATGATATAATCTGAAACTTCTTTAAACTTGTATGTGCATCATATACGATGCATATATAATCGTGATTGAAAACAACATATTAGATTTTGACTTTATAAGGTAAACTAGAAGTGGTACTTTACTTGGAACTCTTAACAGAGTTTCGTGGGAAAATATACAGTCATTATAATACGAGTTTAATCTAAATAATGCTATTTCCATTATTTCTAGGCATGATATTTATTTGTATCAAGTCGTAGAAGAAATTTTTTTATAACAGCGTTTCATTTGCAGAAATCCAAAACTCTTGTAATGCAAGCATGTTGTAGAGTCGTATTTTCTTTCACTCCCTTCCGTATGCTTTCGTAGTGTAAGTGGAAGTAAACTCGAAGCGTTTTATAGAGATTTGGGGTTCGAGTTCCGGCGAGGGCATTGCACATTTTCCATGCCTCCTGCTTCAAAAAAGAAAGGAGAAAAAAAAAAAAACCTAATGACTCTACAGGCCTATAATGAAAAAGCTACGGCCCTATCAAATACTAAATACTGTACCACAGCAAACATTTACATATGGAAAGAATGGAAGATACATTAGATATAATATGCAGAGACTGAATTATCATAATTTCAACATCTTAAAAATAAAACAAACGAATAATCAAAAAAGTAAATATAAAAATTGTGGATACAATGCTATTCTATATTTAGGTTCACTTTCATATCTTCACAAAAATGTTATTTAATACTCTCACAGAGGTCTTCCTTGTAATCTTTGACATGATTCAGACAACAGTGACAAATAATTTTAAATGACCTCAGCAGCACAGAAATCTCATGCATTCCAATACAAATATTTTTTAATACATTGGTGTGAAAGTACAATCTTGGATTTATTTCTGCAAAATTATGAAGTTTATTGCTGAATTTTGATTAAATATGAGGACTACCTCTATGAAAAGCAAAAGCAAACCAGTGACATATCAAAATAAATAAGGTTTTCTCAATTATAGTTTACGGTGGTGATTTGAGATGTGAAAAATTCGTCCATTTCTTTTCCTTCTAGGTTCAGTGAATAAACCCTTCACTTTAAGATTACAATGTTTTAATGGTACACTAATACAAAACTGAAGATCCATTATTTGCAATGATTTCCTCTTCCATAAGCTATTGACAAAGCACTTATGTAACGGTTCATAAAACTTCTTATTAAAATTTCTGCACTTGTGAAAGAAGTGAAGCGCAGTTAAATCTCTCAAATAAAAGAAATTCATTAAAAACGACAGCAGACTACAAAATATCACATTACCTGAGATACTTGTATCAAATATTTCTCTATTAATTAAGTAAACAAATCTATTAAAGTATAAATCCGTATTGAAAGTTTTGATTTGCAATTAAAAGAAACGTCATTTCCTTCAGAAATATGTCTGTAATTAGAAATGAAATTACAATGTTATTCAAAATAATTAACATGATTCCTCAAATCGCAATCGTAATTTAAAAAGTTAGTGACAAATAATACATAAAATAAACAAGTTTCAATGTAACTTCCTTTACTTACGTGGCACAGCAGTGGCCGAGCGGTAAAATCGCTACACACTAGTAGAAGGACCCGGGTTCAAATCTTGACGAACGGGTTGGTTGCATGGGAATTTTCGAGGTTTTTCCTCAGCATAACGTGAAAGCAAGCCAGTTTCCCTTAAACATAGCTTCATGAAGGCTTCTTTTGCCTTAGGCATATAGCTCTCGTGTGCTTTTCCGTATATGGTATTCCGTAGCATAGTAACCTACGAGTCCATTTGTAGAACGCCAAGTAAAGCTGTCGAATTTATTGCACTTCAAATACGACATTCAGTGAAAATTTTAAGTTTTCATAGCAGACTAATGAACAGAACTTTTTTTGAGTGAAAATTCTTTGAATTTGTAATTTTAATTCTAAATTTACTCATTGCTTGACTTAAATCAACCAGTTAAGAAATATCATTGCTAAACACTCGTGTTTATATATATTTGCTTTTACAGATGGTATCCACGGTGCAGAACCTGTTGCCTTCCCAAAGTCAAACACAGGTATTTTATTTAGTCTACTTTTTCCACTACTTTATAAAGAACAGAAGTAAATTTGACAGCACATGCTAAATAAATCAAGAATAAATTTGTACATTTGCTTTAACTAACGGCATCTACGGTGCAGACACTGTTGTCTTTCCAAAGTCAAACACAGGTATTTATTTATTTTTTTCTTTAAGAGTACATTATAAAGAATAGAAATAAGTTTGAGAGCACATGCTAAATGAATCAAGTACAAATAATTCTAATAGTATAATTTTAGGCCCTTCTACACACCTAGAAACCTTTTATTATTAACAATGCTGAAAATTTGAAATTTTATTCTTAAATGAATGTCTACCAGTAACGAAATGAAAAACCTAATGAACACTGGTAATCCTATACGGATCCAGTTCCAATGAAAAGACTGTCTGTTGGATGTTTTCGTGGTCTTCCCAAGTGTAACGTAAATACGAGGTATTGCTCCTGAAAAGTTCTCCACAAATATATCCTTCGTAACAGGCATATAGCCCTTATGTGCTATGCTGTATTCAGTTAAACTGTAATGAATATAACAGAGTTTTTTAAGCAAAATCCCCATACGTGAAAGTATTCTGCTAAACAAATATAGATTTTTTATATTCTTCTCAACGCTAACTGATGAAATATTTCATAATGATTTAATGAGTAAACCAAAATTGCACACCATGACTGAAGCATCCTGTACGCTTGAAACTCGAGAAGATAATACAGAACGAATTTATTTTAACTTTTAAACGACCCAGTTCAAGATTTTTCAACCAAATTTTAAGAAGCAATTGTACGTTTTCAAATTGTGTTAAACACAACATGTATTGGGTTAAACAGAAAAAAAGTGTAATCTTTTTCAAACGCCGTGTATAAAATCGCTCAGAAAGATAAGCCAAATTAAATAGAATTGAAAAAAATAAAACAAAGGAAAATCTTTAGATTTAGAACAAGCAGTAGCGTTTTCAAAAATTTCAGCTGCATAGTCTTAATTTGACTGTTGGCAAACCATTCATTTCTTTTAAGGCTTTACTTATGTATGAAAATCTTAAATCAGTGTTTTAACTTCTAAATCGTAATTCCTAATATCTACGAATTAATTCAGTTTTTCTTGCCTATCACACTTTTCATCTATTGACGACATTCCGTGCTTCGTTTCTTTTCGTTACAGAGGGCGCCGTTGAGGTGAAATTTTTTCAAAATTTTTTATTCGATTTTATTCTGCATTCTTTCATTTACTAGCAAACGAAGATGAAATTGCTGCAATTATTCTAGATAATTCATTTTAATGCAAAATTTCGTTGTTTAATTTCTTCAGTTCTGGCAGATTACTGATAAGGAAAGCTATTGGTCTTAAAAATAAGTCGCTACAAAACTTTCAAGTACACACAATCATGTGAACAAAAACCAGACGTGTGACGTTTTCCAAACCATTTCGTAACCTCCAGCAGGGCATATAAAGTGGGTTTATACAATAGATGCAAACGTAATCTATTTATGAGGTTTGGAATATTCTATCGTCAACAGATATCGCAGATCCCAATCATAAAATTAAACATGTCACATATATGCGTCACTGTACGGCATGGTCATGGCCTGCATCAACAGTAGGAAATAACGGCACTTCTCACAGCTAGTTATCGTAGAGTTAACGTAATAGTAGACGTAAGTTACATCACACACACACACAATGTTAAATTTATGTCCGCAACTTAGAGGCGTTTGAGGTGCGAAGGATATATGTTCTGAATTTAAAATAGGAATATCTGCGTCTTTGGCTCACTTTAAATGCCACTAGTTAACTGCGAATTACATGCTAAATACCGTTTTGAATTTGATGTAAATATCGCTGGAAAATTCACGATACTTTGTGTTGCATTGTCTCGAGCCGTTATAATTTGCCGTACTTTGCTCAGCATCATCATATATTTTCGGGAATTATTGCTGAGGATTTATGTTGCTCTTGCACGTAAACAACTTCTGTATAAAGTACTAGTTAGTGTATCCATATAGGAATCTAGTCAGTGTATCCATATAGGAATCGTAACGTCTATTGGATACTTCTGCCTCACATCCATTATTAATATCTGTATCACAACACGGGGATTACAAGCCATTTTGCTAATTGTTCATCTTGCCTATTACTCTCCAAAGCTACTTGTTAGCTGTCAAACATACTCGTGCTTCGAATCATCTTCCTACCAGCGGCGAGAAGCCATCAAGCCTTAAGGTTAAAATCACTGAACATGAATAATTTGACTAAAGGTTCAAATCCCAAAGAAAAAGGGCTGGTTGAATGGGAGCTTTCATAGTTTCTCTCATCTGTAACATAAACAGGAGCCAGTTTCCATTAATCCTACACAAAGACCTGTCTTCCATTTGGCAGATGGTGTCCGCCGATAACATCACGGCGAAATTATCGCAGTTCTAAAACATCGTCGTCGAAAATAAAGCGGTTCAAAAACGTCGCAGTTTAAAAACACCGTCGTCGAATATATCTTGCTAAAAAACAAATTATCTACAAATCAACGCATGACGATAACATTGCAGACATGCTTTTTTCACGTTTTAATAATTGTAAATGGATATTTTCTTAATGATTTGTGAGCACAAGACGTAAAGAAGGATAATTTTTACTTTCACATTTTTTATTAACTAATAAATTTTTGCTAAAAAAGTAAGAAGGAAACTTAAGCATAGAAAATTAAATGCGACTTATAGATTATACTTTTCATGAAAAATTACCAGTAAAAACTTTATAAAAATGATTTATTAATGCCTTTTGTTAGTTAACTATGTCGGTTTAAAATTCTATTAAGTGCTATAAGTTGCTCTGATTTTCTATGCTTAAAATTCCTTATTTTCTCAGCAAAAATTTATTAGATAATAAAAAATATGAACGTAAAAATTATCCCTCTTTCCATCTTGCGCTCACAAATCATTATGGGAATATCCATTTACAGTTATAAAAGCCTGAAAACAGCATGTCTGCGATGTTATCGTCATACGATGATTTGTAGATACTCTATTTTTTACTACGATATTTTCGACGACGATGTTTTTAAACTGTGAATTTTATTAACCGATTTATTTTCGACGACGATGTTTTGTAGCAGGACGTTTTCTTTTTGCGATGTTTTGTAGCACGACGTTTTAGCCTTGCGTTGTTTTCTCCGCGATGTTTTCGGCTGTAACCGCGGGCCTCAACATTTGCAGCCACGGACAATAATGTATCTGAGTAACGAGGTCGTTCTGTAATAAAGCACATTATTTGAAGATGACATGCATGTGGTAGGGCAATGGCTATTGCTTGATTGTTATTCAGATTACAGCAAAGCGCAAGAAAGCTATCTGCCAGGTTACGGCCGAAAACATCGCGAAGAAAAGAACACAAGGAAATGTAGAGGAACAAATGTTGAGGTCCGCTCCACTTTGTGCGTCCTGTTCTCGGAGTTGCAACAGTTTATGGAATGTCTCATTTTTTATCCGTTGTTCTGTTTACATATGATCAGCCCCGAAAGTTTCGTGACGACAGCCGTCGGAAATCCAATAGGGAATGTTTATCCGATGGCTTTATGGTCACAAGCTGCATAAGCCAAACGTTCGCTGTTAGACAACCACCCACTGCTACATCGCACACCTTTGGTTCTGTTAAATTAAATTTCAACTTAAATTTAATTTGAAACTTCGGATCAGTAAAATATCTAAAATGAATTGAATAATTCTGAATTTAGGAATGTTTTCCAATAAAGTCAGAATTTAGTACAATTTATCGAATTTGGAGGGCGTATACATAGCGGACCATGGTATTTCGATTTCTTAAAAAACAATTAGTAACTAAGTCGCCGCCTGGGAAAATGTTGGCGCTGCAAAAGCTGATTTGTGTCTATAATGAATGTTTAAATGTCAAACTACCCAACACGTATGAATTTCATTAACAAAAAAATATTGTTACTTAGTACTGAGGCTCAATATGACCACCATTGTGATGTTCCAAGAACTGATACATTGCACCACATTTTCCATGGTGGCTCGCAGCATATCAGGATTAATTTATGTCACTTGTAACGTTATTCGATCTTTCAAATTTGCGATATCGAAGACATGTCTTTGATTTCAAATCGCTGAATCATGTTTCGTAAGTTATGCTCATCAGTCCTTTTCGCAACTTCTTTAAGCACCTAAATTCAGGAAGTTAGATTGGCATTCTCGTTCCGCTGATAATACAGTTTGACTAACAAGGCAATTTCCCGCGAGGTGTAAGAGTCATCGAAAGGCTGCTGCCCTCAGAATAATGAGAATTCTCCCCCAGGCCTTTCCTTCTATACTCGTGATCGCTACACTGAAGCCGATTACGCAAATTAACGTATTTTATTAGGTAAACAGAGCAATATTTTCATTAGTCCAAAAGGGCAATTTGCCCAGAAGGGCTATTACTTCGTTTTGGCATTTTGCGTTGATTCACTATAAAAGGCGAATCACCTTTTAAATTGTTGCTACCAAATATTAGAGCCCTATATTATATTTAAGGAAATTAAATAATTAAGAATCTGCATAAATGTATGTATGTTTCTCGCATTGCGATAAAACAATTGTACCCAGAGCCATCAAATTTTGAATAACGTACGTCTCTACCCGAATATGGGCATCTCGAAGCCCAAATTTAGAATTCGGAATTTGTTTTATCTATTTCATATTTTGTAAAGCATTTGTGAGTTTTTGATTAAGAGACTCAACGATTTCAAAGCGAGCAATGGCAACACTATACTGGAAAAAAAAGAAAGAAAAACACACACATTTTATAACCAGCGCGCGAGACTGTGTATCGAAAATTCTATTATAGCCTCTTTTGTATCTCGTCTTACCTACGAATTAAATATAAGGCAATTCTAACTCATTAGTGAAATTTTCTAAATTTAAGGATTATTTAGTTCTCTTCCCTATTCTAGCAGAAGTGCCTTCTCTTAAAGTTTAAGCTAATTATTTTAAATGTAAATTTTAATGTAATCATAGATACTTGCATTTGCATTTTTTCCCCTCCACAGATGATCTTTGCCGTTATCGAGGAAGATACTACAAGCGTGGATCTACAGCATACCTAACTGAAGATTTATTTAAACAGATTGAATGCAGATGTGAGGTACCTCCCGACTTCAAATGTATCAAGAAATCTTCCAAAATGGAATAAAGAGGGCAATACGGAACGTTATCCACAGTACGAACTTCTATAATGTACAAATTTACACATCTCTTAGACTTTTGTAATAACTTTTAATTATTAAATGTTTCCTCTCAGAAATATTCCAACAGCTTTCACTAATGCACAATATTTGCACTTTCTGCAAAGTCATTGTAAAGGACATATTACAAAAAAAAATTTAATTGTACAATTAATAAAAGTATGTAAGATTTCAAAATAATACAAATTTTAATGTTTGAAAAAAATTAAATCTTTGATCACCAAAAGCAAATGGAGATTCATGAAATAGAATTTTAAATTTACGTGCCTCTTTTTTGTTTGTTGTTGTGTGTGGGAGGGGCTAAATTTTAAACACTTAATAAATAACTAGCTAAAAAGAAAATTATCAGTAAGCCTTTAGACCAATTTTGGAGCACTTTGTATGAGTATGTGCAAATTTGCCACATTTGAAACGATACAGAAATGCATTAATGAGGAGAACTAAAAAATGTATCTTTATTTATAATATTCGAGTAAAGATACAACCGAAGCCGGAACTAAGCTTCTTTAACTGACATGTGTTTATGAAATTTACTTACGTGTTTTATAAAGTTTGATTTATGATAAAGCATGCGAGGGCTATCAGTCTTAAGGATAGAAATACCTTTGCGGAGCACTTTCTAAGAAAAACTGGCTCAAATCCGCATTACGCATGGAGAAAACCGGGAAAACGCTCGTTCACCTAGAATCGGAAATACATTTTTGTGGCTTTCCCCACGTGTAACGTGGATACCAGCCAGTTTCCCTCCGAAAATCCTTCACGAAGGCATCCCTCCCTTTAGGCAACGTCTTTTGACGTAATCAAATAAACCAAACCAGCCTTCTTATTTCATTTAATACTTCGTGCTTATTTATTTCATTTAATTATTTACCAACTTATGTCATTAAAGGTTACTAAATTAAAAACCACATGGCATAGTACGAAGATAAAAGAAGGGTAAGTATTTTGAAAATATTTTTCGTAGACAAGCGAACCTGCATTTTTTGTGTGTGTGTGCGTCTAACACTGGCGTTTGGCGGTACACATAATGATGGCATAAAGTATCACTAAGTCACGGTTTTGTTTTGAATGAATATTTCACGTACAATAACACCGTCTGTTGCTCTTGAAATTTAGATGCCGACGGTCACTCGGCTTTAGAAAAATTAGTGATAACAAAACATTTCGTCCATGCTTCGAGATCTAGCGGACTTTACTTTGGACCGTGTGTCCCTGTCAGCTGATCAAAGGAAAGATCACTGAATAACACAAAGTACTAAAACATAACGCATTTCTATATTTTGTGCCAGTCATCATTTTATGGGCTTTCTAAAATGCTACTTAACTCGTCTACATAAAGGTTTAATAAATCAGTTTAAGAGATGCGATGACTATAAGCTAAAAACTGCTCTAAACAAGAATAGTATAATGAAACCTTTTCTGACAACAACAAAAATTTGTGTTCATTTAAGCAGCTGAATTTTATATTCCAAAGTGGTCTTTATTATAAATCCCTTTAGTTAAACTATACCGAAATACAGCACATAAACTGTTAAATTATTCATTCATCGTTTTAAATAAATCGCAAAGCGCAACATTTAAATTTTTTTTTTTTTTTTTTTTTTTCCGGTTACAATTATCCCTATCGACACTCATCGCATTTTAACACACTCAACCAGCATAGCTTTGCCTTAAGTTTTTTAAAGAACGATACTTGTTTGTCAGTAGAAATTAAAATAATTAGCACATATCAGAGACACCCACTTCATATTCCTTTACAAGGGTTGAACATGTGGAACTACCATGCATGCTCCTACAGCAGAGTCAACACAATACACAGAACTTCTAAAACAAGCTTACGAGCGACCGAACGGTAAAGTAGTTTGGCCTGGGTTCGATTCCAGGAGAAATGGCTGGCTGCATGACAATTTTTGTGGTGGTCCCCCCCCCCCAATGTGTAATGTAGATACAAACAGTTCTCCTCAGAAAGTCCTGTACTAAGGCATTCCTCCTCTTGGACAAATAGCTCTCGCATGCTTTGTCATGATTAAATAAAACTTTATAAAACACGTAAGTAAACTTTGTAAACACGTATCGGTTAAGGAAGCCTAGTCTCACATTATTTTTGTAACTTTGTCTGAATTTTATCTTGAGAAGCCCCAGCCTTCTGAAGTCTGAAACCTTTTCAAATGATACTGGCAACTTCGAACAATTGAACATGTTCAGCAAATGCAGGAAACAAATGTAAAAAAGGAACGCCAGGGAAGTAAAGTGGTCGTGCTGTAACTTACATTTAGCTAGCAGTGCCGGTCTGGTGCTTATAAATAAACGTTTTATGTTGTATTCTGTCGGTCTGGGATTCATGTACCTGAAGCTTTACCAAATATCGCACGATTCTGATTTTTTGTTTCATACTGAATAAACTTTCCGTAAAAGAAGCAATGCTGAAATATGCATGAAAATAATCCTCTATATGGAAGAAGAAACATCCTGGCCAAAATAACTTTTCAAAGGTGAAATAAGTAAGAAAGGAGTGGGATCATTCACTCGACATCTCCGAGATTAAAATCTTTAATTTGCATAGACTCTTCTGTACTCGTAAGCATACCTCTGACATTACTCCCAAACATTAACAAAATTCCTGAAATTAGTTCAAATTGAATTATTTAAAGCAACGATTCAAAATCTTAGTTGAAACATAGAATGCTCTAACAGCATGCTTGAGTTCCCTGGCTCTACAACAGATGACGCTAAGGAAAGTAAGGAGGTGGTCGGATAACCAAAAACTGTTCTCAAATATGTTTGGTCAATTCGCAGCAACTTTTTCCAGTTTGAGCAATTATCACTACTCATACCTTCAAAGAATTTTACGATTAGTTGCTTTTCTGCTTTCCGGGATCATTATAGGACTAATTTAAGTTCTATACTAGAATCCAGGGCAGATCTAGAAATTTATACAAAATTTCTTTCCATGTAAAACTAATTCTAATTACAGTCATCAAAAGTATCCTGAAAGTTGTTTATATTCACACATGCGAAATATCCCTAGAATTCAGTCATTCAAACGACCAATGGCTAAAGCCATGACACAGTGGTGCTTCTTTCGAATTTATTCTCGGCGATTGAGCAGATTGACTGATGCATAAAGTTTTTCCTATTTATACGAATTATCGCATTCCATTAATTTGGACACCGTTCCTCACCTCATAGAAAAAGTATCACCTGGATGTGGCTCTCAACTCAACCTGATCTGGCATGACGACCTCAAAAATTATTTGACATCTCATAATGAGCCATAATTTTTCTGGGAATTTTGCGTGGGTAACTACTATGTTACTGCCTTCAATGTGCTTCTCAGAGGCCAAACAGGAATGCTACCTCTCACATCTTTGAAGGACGATTTCGATCCTCTTCCCCCCTTCCTTCTGAATGGTTGGATTAAACGCAACATAAAACCAAAAGCAACATTTGGGATCTTCAAAGTAAGCGTTGCATATAGGACTTAAACTTATTGCTATGAAAAGCTGAGGTTGATTCAGAGTTTCTAAACCCTGTAGAAGATTCTAATAGACCTATAAGGTAAAATGCACGCCAGTTTCCATTAGAAAATTCGGCATAGAGGCATCCCTTTCTGTAAGTATATAACAAAATAGAGCTGTCTAGAGCGATGAGCTAGAGAAAGCAATGATTTCTTGGAGAATTACCTAAGGAAAAACTGTTACGCTTTTATGTTACACATACGGAAAAATGAAAACTCTCAAGCAATCTGTCTAATAACTAGGAACACAACAGAAACAGGAAAGGTCAGCTATGGGGCACGAGTGCTTTTTACAGATGACAGCCGATTTAATCTCATTAGAGATTCTGGATTATCTAAATATCTGGTGGGGATAATGCAATCAGCACTCTCATATCATCATCGGACACTGGTTTGGAGATGGTGGATTTCTCACTTGGAAAGATATGTTTGATGGGCGCATAGAAGGCCCCATCTTCGATCCCCTTTATTATTTTTATGTATTTATTTTAACCCTTGTTTGCATATCATAAAACTAACGACACATGGAAAATTATTAATATAATTAAAATATTGCTTCTTAGAGTGACAATTTAACAATGTCGGTATGTTTACTAATTCAAATCAGAGGCGTAGAGATTTTCAGGGCCCAGGGACAACAGAAGCTTTTGCAGCCCCTTGTGTGTACCACGAATAGAAAACATTTCATTCTAAAATTTCTTAATTACAATTCGGCGCCCTCTCGATGCTGCGCCTAGGGACAGATGTCCCCCCTTGCCCCACCCTAGCTACGCCACTGCGTACACTCGAAATGATTTGTACATATACTAGGTGAATCTGAAAAAGTGGGCAAAACTTAACAGTGTGATAGAACGCAGCTATACGAGCAATATTCGTCATAAAATGTATGGTCGGAACGCAAGTGGTGAGAAGTTAAAAGGTACTAATTCAGAAGTCAAACAACAAAAATCAGCGTTATATTTACAAAATTTTCACAGGACTAGTTTCGATGGTTTTACCGAACCACCATCTTCAGCTGCAAAACCGCAAATGAAAAAAATGCATTTTTTTCATTTGCGGTTTTGCAGCCAAAATTTTGTAAATATAACGCTGATTTTTGTTGTTTGACTTCTGAATTAGTATTTATTCGGCGTGTTATTGTGTCTTAATTATTAGTTAAAAGGTAGTTTTTCAATGTCACATTTACAGAATTAAAACAAGAATAAGAGCAGATACTTCAGAAAACATTTTATTAACAGGAATGTAATAGGTATACATGCTCAAAGAAATTGCTCAAAAGACCTTCCGCCAGCTGTAATGCAGGCTTCACACCTGCAGGATAGGAACTGACTGAAGACACCACACATTTCCTGAATATCTCCGGCAACAACGGCGATTCTGGCGAATAGATCCATATTGGTTTTAGATTAGGCTTTTTATATGGCTCCACAGAAAAAAGTCCAAATACGAGAGATCCGGTGATCTTGGTGTCCAAGCTATGGGACCACCTCGACCAATCCATCGCCCTGGAATTTCGTGAGTCCTATAACCAGCTATTCTCTCAGTAATCCAAATTAGAAAATGCCGTTGGGTGCAAGGACCAATCCTTTTTATACCATTTGCTAGCCAGAGGCTCGCCGTTTGCGTTTCTCCCAAACTTTCTATGACGAATATTGCGTGTATAGC